TGAAGTCGAAGATTCTGGTCTCGATCGGAGATTCGGATTTTGATCTTAATTTTACGGGTGTGCAAGCCCATTTTTTTAAGAAAAATAAAACTCACAAATGGAACTCATGGCCCGTTTGACTAAAGCTTATTGTAAACAGATGATTAGTTTTTACATCTAATAAGTTGTTTTAAGAATTGAATGAATATCTTATTTTCCAAATTCAAAATCCACCAAACTGAGATCCAAACAAAATATATTGGCTGAAACACAATACAGAATCAGTTGCAAGAGAGAAAATACAGCAAATCTAATATACTTCGAAACGAAAACGTTCAGGGGTGTGGACCTGCGCAATAGGTCCGTCCAACAATATAGTTAAGCACAATTTGCTGCACGCTAAATTACACGCAAAATTTGGGGATAAAGGTGAAAATAATTATTCAAATCAAACTCGCCAAGGTAGAAAACTCAAATGATGTACCCCAGTTTCCCCGAAAAATAAAATCTTTTTTTCTCGGGCGAGTATTATTAACGAAATCGTTACACCGACCTACAATATATTTGTGGAATTTCAAGTTCAGGCTGATTTCTTGACGTAATTTTCGAGCCATTCCATTGTAACACTCTTTGGCCTCTCGAGTGCCAGACCAAGAGCTCGATCCCAAATAAGCTAAACCAACAAAAGGTGAGATGAGAAAAGCTCAGGTTAAATTATACAAATGGAAACTATAAATGTTAGTAATAAGAAAAGAAAAAAGAAAAACTGATAAGGAAGAGAACCTGAGAGCATATGCCGATGGACCTCGAAACACCAAAGAGAACAGTGTAGAATCTGTCACAAAATTGACACTTTAGATTTTTCTTCTTTTTACCCTTTCGGTATTGGTATTCTAATATTAGAAATATGGTAAAATACAGAAAGAAAAAAACCCAACTACATTTGTTACAAACATTATACCCCTCGTTATTTATTTCAATTTTGCAAATTGAAATACATCGAGGTGTTAGTAAATTGGAAAATTTATTTTAGTAATTTTTGTAATTTATTTTCTTAGAAATATTACAAACGTTGTACCTTGCTTCAGTTAAGCCATAATAATTGAGCAACACTCCGCTGTGGGCATCTACATTGGGCCACGGGTTTTTAACCTACAAAATAACCCAAATGCAATATAATCAGAAAAAACA